ACAAAGAGAGAAAAAGAGAAAGAGAGAGGTACCGTGCGCATTTCACACCATTCCCGTCTGGATTCCGGCGCGTCCCCCGTCGGCGGCCCGCAAAAATCCGTAATAAAAATAAATAATTCATAGGCGCGCGGCGCGGGGATGGGAACAGGTGATATGAAAACCATAGTTGTTCGACACGGTGTTTTTCGGGTCGTTTCGACGAGAGTTATGGACGTCCGAGGCGGGAATACCGTCACCGTAACAAATACACGTGTTCCCGGATCGTCATAACGTACGAGAGATATGACGGCCAGATTGGCCGGGCAAAAACCGTCCGAATGCCTCCCTTGTGTGAATTTCGCCGCCCGTCGCCTTAACGTCGTGTTTTCGCATAAATCTCGCTCGTAGGTTGTAAAATATTATTTGCCGATATCGCGTCGCACGAAATGGCCGACTTTTTTTGCGGGCGACATAGCGATCTGGACGCACATCGGAGCGTCGAACATACAGTCGCACAGTTGGCTTTGACTGAAAGTCAAATTTTTGCTTGTTTTAATAAAAGTTTCATTCGTTTTTCGACTGCGATGTTTGGTGATAGTGATAACCCAGATTTTTTTTTGCAATGGAGATTACAAACTCAGGTAAAAGGGACTGTGAGATATACGAGGCCGAAATTTCCCGGCCGGAATATGAAAGAAACAAAGTAGAGTAACATTTTTTTTTTTCAATATAAGCCCCCTTGAGTTCGAAACACTTATTACATCTTTTTATTAACAAGTCAATCCCTTTAAAAAAATGTCCTTTTGCTTTGTCTGCAAAACGAGCTAAAATAGCCTCTTTTAACTCAACTTCGTCGTTAAACCGCCATCCACGTAAGTCATTTTTCAAATATCCAAACAAATAACAGTCGCTGGGGGCCATATCTGGGCTATAGGGAGGATGGTCTGTCTGTTGGTATTAGTTTCTTAAAAATCTATCAAAAAAATTCCTTCACAATCCCAAAGGATCGTGGCCATCACCTTTTTTGTTGACTGGCAGACTCTGAATTTTCTTGGAGGTGCTTCATCCTTACGACGCCACTCCATTGATTCTTTTTTCGATAGAAGGTCATAATAGAGAATCATAGTTTCATGTCCCGTCACAATAGTTTCTATCACACGCTTCGGTTCCGACCCCCAGGGTTCCAAGCAAGACCGTGCACACTCGACACGGCGTTGTTTTTGAATAGCCGAAATGTTTTTAGGAACCCATCTTGCACATACCTAAATGATCATGCAGGATTCGACGAACAGTTGTATCAGAAAGCTTAGTAATTTCTAAGATTTCCTTGGCCTTTAAACGTCGATCACTCAATACCACCTCTTCCACAATCGCAACAATATCTTCCGTTATGACCTCCACTGGTCGACCAGTTCTTGAATCTTCTTCAGGGGACTCCTGCCCCATTCGAAAACGTTTTGCCCATTCTTTCACTACAGAATACGAAGGAGAACTTTGGCCGTACACACAATAATTTTAGGTGCTATATATATTTAAAAGAAGACAAAGTCTTATCGTGATACTGGAGCTGCTGCTGTCAGGCCGGGAAATTTTGGCGATAATCTAGTATTTGCTTGTTTTAATTAGTAATAGATATAAACACAAATAGCACAAGGACGTCCGTAAAACGTCCTCGGGATATCTGACAGAACATAGCGTATATCCTAAGGATATACTGTTTCAGCTAAGGGACCCTTAAGACGTCTCAAGGATATACTATGTTACCAATTGGAACATGCACAGTATATCAGATACGTATGTCTAGAATGTTTGTTAGAACATACCAAACGTGTCCAGTAATAGTAGTTATAGGATCTTATATAGATATACCAGTGGACCTTACTTAATTATTAAGTTATTTCCAACAGCCTATGAGAAATACTGAAAAAGTACTGTCCAGTACTGGTCGAACAACTACAAAAATTCTCTCCCAGTATTTGGTACTCGCGTGTGTGGAATTAACCTATTGGGTATGGTTGGTGAATTCATCAATGGAATAGCAGGCCATATTGACACCATTAATAAAACACGTTTTATACACGTCTGATTTTTTCTGTTGTAGATATGATAAAACTCTAAAAGAATATTATTTGATAGATTTTCTGTCTTTCCTTGATGAAAGTAGCACTTTTCGGCCAAGCAGCTATTGAATTCCGCATCAGAGCATTTGAGAAAGGCAGGTGTATGTATCTCTACTTTGTAAAAAAAAAATAAAAAGAACGAGACTGGTATCTTATAGGTATAAAATACAGACTAAAAAAAATCCCTACATCCGCCTTTTAAGTAAAGGCTTGATTGGAAGCTGATAGTCCTCTCGTGAAAATGATCTTAGATGCTAATCTCCACGATGATGCAGGAATACCTCTAAGATCTCTTTCATGAGAGTGGGTACTATAGCGGGCACACAAAACTAGAATAAATATGACTTTTCAGTTTGACGGTAAACGCCAATTTTCGTGCAATATTTTTTGTCGACCTAAAAATTTCCCTAGTTTTTTTTGCTCGCGATGATACCTACTATGACCATGAAAACAATACTTAAAAACCAGGAAAAAAGTTTTCATGAATTAACCCAACAACAAAATGTGAAAACTAAGCAACAAAATACGAAAAGAAGTCTAGAATCAAAAATTACTTAACGTTTAATATAGGTATGTAGATTCCAAAGAAATCAGTTTTATCTTAACTCGGCCCAGCAATCATTTTTTAAAAAAGGCTCAGCTAAGCAATCACCATAATACATTCTATGAAACCTAAATTAATGTTGTCCTGAGAATTTAAGTTCAATAAAGGAGAGGTATTTAAATCTAATTGATCGTTAAGCAATACATTTGAATGTCTCATTTTGTTAATCTCCATGGCTTCCAATAAATTTAATTTTCTACTTTTTGTGGCTGTATGTAAAATATCACAATTGTCGTCAAAGATGTGTATTTCTTTTATGTTCATTTCAACCTGAAATACATTTCACACTTTTATACACAGACTTCTTAACACGCCACTCTAAATAGAAAATTACAACAAATAACTTAATATCATTAAACAAATTGTACTGAACAACGGCTACATTATAAATAAAAAACAAATCCAGACAACAGTAAACTCAATTTATTCGAAACCTAATACAGAACACGAACAATTTAAAACAATTACATACATAGGAGAACCCAGTGAAAAAGTTTCGAAACATTTGTCAAAATGTGGTTTAAAAATAGCTTTCAGAACTAACTTCATCTCCCGAAAACGTATTTGGCTATATTGTTTGACATTTCGCTATATTTGCATAGTATCTTTAATGGTTAGTTATCGCCAGGCAAAGTAAAGCAAAGGGTGGTTATTGTTGTTTTATCAAACTTTTAATATTCGGTGGTCTGATACGTACCAGTGTTCACTTGTAGACTTTGATTTTATCTTTGCCCTGACGATAACAGGAGAAGTTCTGTCAAGAAGGCACTGTTGGAAACTTAAATTTTCCAATGTAGAATTTGTCCATCTGGATTTATTGAGTTTGTCCTGGGCAGTTTAAATTCAGAGCGCCCTATCCGGCTGAAGGTTTGTATAACCCCAATTAACTCATTCATAATTCAAGGGGTAAGGGTAAGTTTGAAAATACTCAACAACCAACATGCTTCTTCTTGTATTTTTGTGTCTTCTACATAGTTCTTCGATTTGTAAACAACAACAGCCTTTTTTAAGACTAGATTATATTCAGGTAAATATTTATTAGAACCTTAAAATTAAATATTTTTTGAAGGTTCCTGTTTTTTAACACTTTAAAATGTGGAGACCGTGAAATGAAGCAGATATTCCTCTGTTGAAGACGAACTGGAGATGGTAATCGAACCTAATGACAATTTAGAAGACGAACTGCATCTGCGAATAAAAAAAAAACGGATCAATTTGTCTTCGGATGCTAATGTGGTGAATGTTTACGATTTTATGAGAAATTCAGAACTGGAAGTAGGAGTGGCAAGTGATATGACCAAAGTTCACTTAAGAAAAATTGTGCAACACGCAGATCTAATAAGGCGTATAATCTACGACGCTTATAAAATGAATAGTGTTTTAACATTAGTTGGGCCAAAGAGTCGTTGAGTACTTTTTTGAAGAAAATGGATTTTCAGACTCTGTACTACGCATTTGTTAGATCTAAATTAGAATACGGTGATATTATTATGGAGTCCGTTTTACCAAGTCCATTGAAAGAAGCTGGGATTTGTACAGTTAGAATATGCCTCTGCCGTCTGGTCGCCTGGTTATAGCGTTCGTTCGCAGAACTTGGGGTCCATTCAAAGGCGACTTCTAAAATATATGTATTATAAAACTCATGGATCTTATCCCGAACAGGGTGTTCCTCAAACTGAGCTGCAGAATTTGTTTTCAATGGACTCTCTACAGACCAGGCGCGAGTATTTATCACACGTTAGAGCCGCGTACGAATATTTTAGGATTTTGTCGACAAGTTTGATATACTTTCTTCTTCTATACGTAACGTTAAAACATGCTTTTTGTTGGATTTTACGTTGTATTAGCATTTTGCATTTTTTAAATTTGTCAACTAGGTCCCTGTTCGGTAGTTATTATTAAATAAATAAATAAGGGGCTACGGTTTTGGAGTAATAAACAGTAGGCGAAGTTAATCACGGGGTCGGCTGTAAAAGCACTATATTTCTGGTCGAAGTATAGTGTCCTAAGGTAAACGGCCCACTACGGACGGACGGGCGCGAAAATCGAAAGCGGTACAGTCGGGACCGAACTATACCGTGCGGTGTCGCGACAGTCGCTTCCCAAAAAACCCCCGAAAATATCGCGTCGCCCTCCGATTTTATGAATCGCTCGCCGAGTCCGCCCGGCGCTGAATGAGCTACTCGCGTCGCCGTCCCCACCCCGGCTATCTCGAGGGGGGCGGTGCTTGTCGAGCCCGGCCTGTGTGTGAATATCGCTTAGTCAAATACCGTACGTCGTGGCGACAGTTGCCGAGGACCGTCTGCCCGGCTCACCATCACCACCACCACCGACCCTTTCGCGCGACACACGTTCGTTTTTTTTTTTCGTTTCGGTTTTTACGCGGAAAATTTTTCCTTTCGTTCGATGCCGCGACGGTGAGCGCCTGGAAATTGAATATCGTCGGCGATCTTCGCGATCGAGACCCGACCCTGACCGATCGAGGGGCGCCCTGTTTCGCACCGCCCTTATCCGTGTCCCCACCATAACTGGCGGCGCTGACTTAGAAGGCGCCGCGACGCCGTCGTGAACGTACGCTCTCTTCCTCTCGATACGGCGGTCATTCATACACATATAACATACATGGTCATAACTTGAATGATGTCGATGATGAGTGCGAGCTATCATGTTTAGTGATCGCGGACAGTGACAGTGCTCTTGGTGCGCGGCGGTTGAAGATGTCACGTAGAAAACAAGCTAGACCGATACGTCTTCTCGAGGATGACGAGGTGGACAATGCGGGCGCCGTCGCCGTCGAACCTTCCACCCTTACCGGTAAGTCCAGGCGGATTGCTCATAGTTTTAATCATAAGTGAGAACTTCTCTCTCCCAATCATCAATCTAGACTGCGAACAGGACGCAACCGTCTTAGTATTAACCTTCCGTAGGATTTTGAACCCTTTGAACCATCAGTTCTGGCGTAACTCCAACAGCACATTCAACTCTCTATGCTTAGTGAGCCTTTTTCGTATAGGAATTGAACTCGCCTGCGACTTTAGCAAAAAAAAAATAAACAAATTGCCATGAAGATCATTAATTTTTTTTTATGTTTCTTTGACAACTCTTGAAGAAGGAATCTTTCCCTCGCCTGGTGAACAGACTTATTTAAACTATAAACTGGTCGTAACCACGTTAATATTGTTAACCTTCAGCAGGATTTTGAACCCTCTGTAACTCCTGCTGCATATTATTATGCTTATGCATCCGCCTCCGACACTTCGTCGCAACAAATTTGAAAGCTCTCGTTTCCATGATTTACAGAAAATTTTCTGCCACCTAGTGAGCCCTTTTAGCATCGGAATTGACCTCGCTCCTCCACTTTGGCAAAAAATATTAAACAAATCGGCATGACTAACATTTTTTTTAGGATTAAACGTTCTCTCTCCCAGTGAACATACTACTTTATAGTACGAATAGGACATAACCGTCTTAATATTAGCCTTCCGTCGGATTTTCAACCCTTTGAACCATCAGTTCTGGTGTAATTGCTGTAGCATATTCAGTTCTTTGTGCTTATGCATCTGTCTCCGACACTTCGTCGCTAAAATTTCAAACCTCTTGTTTCCACGATTTAAATGCGCATCACACGCAAGATCTACAATCGAAAAAGAGCATTTTCTGCCTCCTAGTGAGCCTTTTCGTAGCGCAATTGACCTGCCTCCGCGACTTCAGCAAATTTCTTCAACAGGATTTTGAACCCTTTGTGGTGTCACAGTTCTGGTGTAACTCCTGAAGCATATTCAATTCTTTATGCTTATGCATCTGCCTCCGACACTTTGTCACTAAAATGTCAAACCTTTTTTTTTCACTTTTAGTATCAGACTAATATTAATTTCTTTTTATATTTCTTTGCCAACCCTTGAAGAAGGAACCTTCGGCAGGATTTTGAACCCTTTGTGCCATCACTTCTGGTGTAACTCCTGCAGGATTTTGAACTCTTTACCATTGAAAATATCCAATGTGATCGTTTCCCGTTTCTGATCGCAATCGAAGAAGAAAATTGTTTGTCTCCCAGTGATCCCTTTCAGGATTTTGAACCATTTCGGCGGAGTTTTAAGCTCGTTGTGTTTGAAACTGTTCAGTATGAAAACTCCGGGAATTCATATAGTTGCGACATTTTGTTATTAAACTTTCAAAACTCTGGTTAAGTTCATCTCCGATCAATCCCAAATGAAATTGTTTTCGGTCGAATTTTTGATCACATGACATATATCGCGTTTCCGCAATATCCGCAATTGAAGGAGGAAAATTTCCGTTTCCTAGTGAACACGTCATGACCTGTAATACCCTTCAATACCAAATTCTATCGTTACCTTCATAGTGTTTTATTTTTTTTTGACTTTGTATGCCTTTTAATTACCGTGAAGCAATATCGATCTTCAGCGGGATTTTTTAGCCCTTTCGGTTCTGGCGTGGGAAGCATCGGATTTCTCAACGCTCCGCCACTTTGTCTAATTATCATTTACTCTTTTTTATATTTCTTTGACGACTCTTGAAGAAGGAAACGTTCTCTGTCCTAGATTATAATCTGGCACATGAGTAGGAGGTTTTAACAACGATCTAACTCTATTAATTTGGTCTTCGGTAGGACCTTGAAACCTTTGTGCTTCAAAATATAGATCTAAGCTCTATAATCTGAATCTGTCAAAAAGAGAAGTTAAGTCCATTCCCAAATGGGCAAGTCTTGGAGAAGGAAAGCTTCTGTCTCCACGGCTTCACTTTTTAAGCTCCAAATAACTTGTAGCGAAGCATCAAGCATCAAGCCCTTTTGTTTCTAGTTTTGGTTAGTTTACCGCGTGACTTGTGTCATTTCCTTCGTGGGAAATTTCAGTTGCAATTTTCTCATCCGAATAAAATGTTCACAACAATAGCCGTAGATCGTCCGTCACCACATCACACTCGAAAATCAATCACTCAATGAGTCATGCCTAATAGTACTTACATAAAATCGCTTCAAACAATGACGTCGCTTGGCTCAGATTTTTCGTTTATATCAAACATGACGAAACCTCGCTAGATTGTCTCTTTGATTTTTTTAAATCAATTTTCATTAGTCTTTTTTGGAGCTTATGTCCCATCTCAACAAACCGTACGCGGTTGCCTACGCGTTTAGAATTGGTTTTCGCTTTCGGCCATACCGAGAGCGGATACAGTGTCGTTTGATCTTGACGAGCCGCGCGGAGCAACTTTAATTTTTCAGATTCCGCACGGTTCTCCGCACAAATAAAGTCCTACGATTGCCGCAATAAGAACGTATTACGTCGGATTTATGGGGCAGTAATATTTATATATTATCGAAAAAGAGAAAAAAACGGGGACGCTAGAGAACCGGGAACTTATTTTCCGACGGTCATATTCAATTATTGTCGAGTTATGGTCGCGTTTACTTTTAACGTTTCCGCTAAGTGTTACTTTTTATCGCGCCATAGATAGAATTTATTCCGTATAAAACAGAAATCGTTATAATCGCGTCACGAATACAAGTAGACAAACCACAAAGAATAATTAAAGTAATATAACACTGTGTGTGTATAAAGAACAATCACAATTTTTCACCGTTTCTAGTTTTCTTTACAATTAACAAACTATGGAACATACCTGGAAGAAAAGAAACCAGAAAAAATAATGAAGATAAAGCAGATGATCTTTGTATTTAAGTATAAGTGGAGATATTTCATCAACCCAAGTGACATTTGTTTTAATTTCGTGAATATATTCATTAACATCAGATTTTTTTGTTTATTTTATAATTTTATCATTATAGTTGAAAGTGTAGTGCTTTTATTTGAGCAACCCAAGTTTGTTCGTAGTTATTTAAACATTTCCCTTCCTATTGCAAATAGTGTAAAATTCCCTAGTATTTTTAAACTTTGCAAAGCCGTATCTTCATCCCGGTCAAGTAGGCCACCTTCGAAAACGAGCGAGTTATATTGACGCGTTGCCATGGAGACGCGTAAACGCGTAGACAAGTTTGCTTTAAGTTTTTTGAAACCATAAATATGAAATTAACATTTCATTATATATTTTACGTCCATTGGTAAACTAAATACTCGAAAAAGTGCCAGAAATTGTTATTGTTTTCGCTAAATTGTCTACCGTGTTTAAAAGGATTTAGAAATATGGTAAAAATGCCGGTGTTGGTGTTCGCTTTAAAAGATGAGGTCGTTTCACAAAGCCGTGTAGGTCGAAAAGAAGAAGTTTACAAAGAATTATGTCGCGAATATAGCCACAAGGTATGTTTCTGTTCCATTGCTTATTGTATCAACGTAAAGTTTGCTCATTGGAAAATTAATATTAACATTACGACGAATAACTCTTACTTTAATGCGCCGCTTTAAGTTTCATATTTTTCGGTTTTCATGATTTGTCAATATGTTTTGCTAATTTGTTAATTGGTATTTCATTTTATTTTATTTGTTTTTTATACATTTCGAAGTAAAATTAAATTCTAAACAAGTTTTTCAAGATGCATTTCTGCATATCTTTTAAATTAGGGGTAAGTACCGGCTTCAATGCCTTTCAGAGTACGCACAACGTTTTACAAATGTACACACTGTATAACATGCAAACTTTAGACTACGTATTTTGAAAACTGGGTCTTTTTAAGCGCTGGTCGGTGCGGAGGTCGCTGCCAAGAAACGCGGAAAATTCGCGGGCAAAGTGTATAGGCAGCCAACGCGACGCTGGCGTGCGTGGGTGGTTGCTTTCCGTGCTGTTAAGTTTTGCGTGTTCGTCGATTTGAACACATTTCGATGGCCGAAGGAATTCGACACGTGGCGGTTGATCAGAAAATTCCACGTCACTATTAAAACGAAATAATATAACACTAAAGGACTTTATTGATCTGAAAAAATAGTTATAAATTATAGTTATGTTGTGGTAGGACAATAATTTAGGTTTTACGTAAATTTGGATGAATGCTTGGGAACCGAAAGTATATTTACATGTAATATTAAGATTGTGGGCATCAGTTCTAAAATTTAATTTATTACAATGGTGGAAAAATTATTTAAGAATTTTATAGTTAACCTATCATTTTGATTTTGTCATCTTTTTAATATCGATAAAGGACTATATTGATCTAAAAAAAAATAGAGAAAAAATATATTGTGGTCATCATTTCTATACTTATTTTGTTATAAAGATATGGTGTAAAAATTAGTTACAAATTTTGATTTTGTGCAGTTTCTATTAGTGCCACCACCTCTTAACCTAACGTCAACCTTACAGATCGGAGGAACCTGAAAGTAAAATTTTCTTCCTGCGTCCCATATTGGTTTATTCAATTCAGTATTAATGATCCAATACACTATGCAAATAATTAATAATTAAATATAGTAACTATTATTGTAGAATCAACCTATTATAAATTGTCTCTCCAAAAGCGAAAGTAATACTCAAGTCAAACCTGTATGTCACCATAACATTTTTATGGAAATTTCAGTAAATATATGTTTCCAATGTACCTACATATTATACTCAAGATATATTATTCTGTTACATACGAGTAGAAGTAATTTGGGTACAACATCCTTATACAATTTTATTACTTTTTGCTCTTAACTGACAGACTATACGGTAACTTGTGAGAAGAGTAAACGAGGCGGGACTTATCATTTTTAACCATTTTCAAATGTATACTGCATACCAATAAATCACTGTCCTTTTTAAGTATCGTCAACCAAAACACAAACGGGCCTAACTTGGTTTTTCTTATTTTTGAGGAGCAGCGGTTAATGATTTTTTGCTATTCTTGATTAAGTGCTAACCGAGGT